ATAAAGCAGCAAAAGAGTTGTGCAATATGGCTTTTAGCTGGAATCGTTGTAGTCGAAGAACATTAGAATGGAAGTGTTTTGTTGTTGTGAATGAGCAGAGGTTCGTGTTCGGACTTGTTAAATTTCTCAAATGTATTCTCAGCTAAGCTGGGGTAGAGTGCAAATATATAAAATATATATAAAAATATATGCTAAATATATAAAAATAATAATCTGTCATAGTGTAAACTAAAAATTTAATTGAAGACTAAATATAATTTAATATTACATTTGGCGAAATTATCTATTCTCTTTGCTCACCTCAAACAGCTTGCGAATCGTAAACCAAATCTTTGCAATGCTTTATATTTTTTCGCTCTCTCTCTTTCAAAACATATTTTCTCCCATTTATAATGATATTTGCTTTGGTGCAGAAAAAAAAGAGAAGCAAACTTTCACACTTCATTGCCAAAAGTGATTGCCAGCAATTGTGATTTGCAAATGGCTTAAATTAATAATGGAAGTCAGCTCCATAGCTTTAGAGCAGTCGCAGTCAGCAGTCGGCAATCAGCAGTCAGTCGACAGCAATGACAAAGTTCGTTAAAAATGAATTTAGACGCTTGCAATTAAAGCGCTAATTATACACAATTAAAATCAAAGTCAGGCAACTGAGCAAAAACACACAGAAAAACAAAAATAATAACAGTTGATATAAATATATAAGAAAATCAAATCGCATTGTGCAAGTCATTTGCGAAATGCAATATGCAAAGCAACCGTCTGTGTCTATATATAGAGTACATATATATATATATATACATATACTCGATGGCCTATGTGCTTGCACTTTCGATTTGTGTGCATACGAAATTTATATGTTTTTATCTTATAGTAAATTACATGCGAGCTAAGAGGGTATATTGATTGAAACGGGCAGCAGCAGACGTGCGCGAATCCATAAAATAAAAGATAACGTCGCAAGTTAAGTTCGGTTATCGTTTAATTCAATTCGATATCAGGGATATCAGATACTGCTTCTAGAGCATAGAGAAAGTGTTTTCAAGGACTAAAGAAATGTTATACACTCTGGTTGTCTTATAACACGCGAAACAACAAATAATCGATAACTTTTTCTTAATGAAGGAAGTCGATTACTATTGAGGAGAATATATCTAGGTGCTAGTTCTCAAATGATCATAAAATGTGATTAGTTCTTTCTTCCATCCAAGTAGCAAGGGTATCTCATGCTCGTATATTCCCGACTAGAGCACTTTTACTTGATTTTCTTCGCTGCTGTTGCTTTGCTTTGGGGAATGGCATCCATTTATGTCTCATTAAAGGTAAACTAGCCAGCATATTAGCATACTTCACATACATATAAGCACTTAGACACATATATATATCTCGGATCTCCAAATTGAGCTGTTGGCATTGGCATTTGCCAAAAAGCTTCCAAAAAACCAAAATCAACACACGAAAAAAAACTCACGTCTTACCAATTTGGTAGCAACTGCAAACGCATCGTTAGTCTGGCTGACTGCAACACATGAACATGATCATGATCGCCGGTTAAATGATCATTGGGCCAAAAAACCAGTTGGCCGCAGAAACCAGACAGTTGGAAAAAAAGTTTTTGCTATTGCTTTTGTTATGCCGCCCCCCGATCGAGACAGCCAGTCGGCCGGCCGGCCGGCAACTGAAAAAAGTTGGCCAACAAGTGGTCATAACTGTCAAATGATGCTGGCCCCGGCCAATTGGCCTCCTACTTCTTTGCGCCGCTGCTACCCCCGCTTTCTGCCTCCTAGCCACCTTAATGGCCAAGCCAAGTCGTGCGTGCTCTTAACGTGTCAACTGCCAAGTGGCAAGTTAAGCAGCAGCACCAGGAGGAGGCAAACRCACAGCAGCCGTAGCCCGAGCAGCAGCAGCTCGATTGGCTCTTTGGCATCATCAACTGCATTCGACAGATGCAGATGCAGATACAGATACAATATATATATGTACATACATATATATTTATGCATAGTTTACTAAAATGCTACTAAAACCTAACCGGAGGCTAATTTGTCCAAGGCTCCACACTTAACTCTGCTCCTCGCTCACTCTTTGTCTGCCTCTTTCTCCCTCTTACCCTCTCTTTCTCTATCTCTTTCACTCTTTGTATGCCTGGCAGTTGTTGTGGCTGTTTGTCTGGCTGGCCTTCTACTTCTGTTTGCCCCAGCAAATGGTCAGTCGTGCAGCATTGTCTGCACGTGTTTGCAACTACACTGTGCTACATAAAAGCAAACTTGTTTTCTCTCATTTAAATTTATTTTAATTTTTAATTGTTTAAAGTGAATTTTCTTGAGGCATGCATATTTTGACATTCTATGCAATAATTAGAGATTAGTATAAATTAAATAATACATTAAATCAACCTGATCAAATAGCTGAATATATTACAATTTTTGTATTTATTGTTTTCTCATTTATGGACTCATTTATGAATAGGGCTATAACCTATAATAACCATCAGCTTTGATTAATGAATTCAAGGTTTGGCTTTCTTTAAGTTGATAAAGATGATGGAACAGAAGGTCAGAGTAAAGGATGATAATGAATGAAGGAGATAGCGAACGAGAGTTTATACTCATTGAACCTAGAAATTCTGGGTGCAATGAATTTATTTCGATTAGTGAGAGGAAGGAGACTCAAGATCTTTTATTAAATAAGAGTAAAGGAAAATACATTATTGCCTACAAATATAAGTTTAGAGTTAGCTCATTCACTTCATTCTGATATGTTAGGATCGTAAGATCCTCTTACATTACTCAATTACAACTCTCTAGTCTATACATTTCGTATGTCGCTTAGTGTTGCACAATGTGGCACAATGGTTACCACATACCCACACAGATAACATAGTTAACCCACACACACTCAGACACATCTATCGACATACATATATCTATGCAGCTAATGCAACAGACACGAACCCGGCGGAACGCATTGGCAGGTGCAATTGGCGAATAATTTCACGCTGCAGTTGAAATATTTATGGCATGTTGAGAAAAACTTTATTGCCATACACAAAATTGTTGCTGGTTGCCATTGAATATTGAAATATTGAAATCGAAATCGATGTGAAAAATAATTAAATTGAAATCAGTTGATTCGGATGCAATTAATCAATGTCAATTCTAGATTTGTTTTGTCTCCTCAATGAATACGCAAATAATTTGCCAATTCGCAGTAGCCTCGAAAGCCAGCTAACTGTTGTGACCTGGTTCAACTTCGTTTCGGAAACAGTTTGAAGTGTTTATCTCGTGCAACGTGACAAGGTCTTCCAGCTAGGTAACTGCTATAAATAGTTGACACGTAATACATAGTTCAAGCGAACTTCCCTCCAAAAGAAAGAGCTAATAATAACAATAAAAGCCCACGCAAAGTTTTCGATTTTATTTTGGTGTGTGAGGCTGATAAAGTGAAACAGAGTATATTGGGTTGTGTAATGTTATCGTTGATGAAATCTATAATAAGCGTAAGACTTGTGAAGAGCTGAGATATATCGTAAAGCATATCATATAAATGGTAGATCGATATCTTGTTTTAGTTGTAAAGCTTGAGACTGACCTTCATGACTTATGAAGAACTGAGATGTATCATATAAATGGAAAATAGATATTTAGTCATAATTTTATAAACAACAACAGAGTATCATGCTAGTTGGTAACACCCGTTTGGCAATGCTCTTGCTCGTTGTCAATTAAACTTGTTGATTTCCTCATAAATGTCACCCAAAACCGAAAAAGCAAAAAACCCAAAATCGTGGCTAGCTCCAGTACCAGAATGAATGCGATCATTTAACCACAAGCTGTCCATTTGTCCATTTGTCCATTTGCCCATCTGTTCGTTGTTCGCCAATTAACGCAGCAACGGTTTGATAATTTAGCTTAACTATTTAGTATTAGCAATATATAGTCAACTGCATGTATCTGTTTCTATGAGCTAGCTGATCTGGCTCGTGCTGTTGTATTACGTAGCGGGTCTCGTTCGAGAACTTGTTGAAAATGTAAACAATTAAATAGCATTGATCGACTAACTAACTGATCGTTTCAAAATTAACATGTTTCAAATTATACTAAAAAAAAAAAATTATTCAATGAAATATCAATTTGCTGTAAGCTCACTTCCTTCATTGGGAAACTAAATATCGTCTTTAGATGCAGTGTAGACAATATTAAATACATGTCTCTGGCTAATTACTTGCTTGACTGTCATTGACATTGAACTTTGAGTTAAGTAATAAATCTAATTAGTTATGATCTGATTGAGGCTGTATGCGAAACAATTATTCATAACTGATTTGTAATCCTTTGATATCTAGGGGTATTACAAAGATTTCTATAACGATAAACATCATATTAATTAACTTGATTTGCTTATAATCTGAATATATTGAATTGGGACTTTAGGACTTCAGCTGTGTACTCTATATTCTATAAAGAAAGAGTACACTCACTTGGCACATTTTAATGATGAGTTTTATGGAGCAAACTTTGTCATGCAACGAGATTCTAACAGCTTTGCAAATAATTTGCCTTATTAATATGTACTTTGTAAGTCAATATTTAGTAGCAGATACTAAATCTTATCTATCTGTTAGATGTAAGCTCAACACAAGTAATATATGTTGATTTATAGTTTATATAATCTAAAGCTAACAAGCTAATAAATATATATTTATAATATATCTTTACTTTTAAGATAAGATCGCCCCATACTACTAGAAGAGGCAAAGAAAATTAAATGAAAAAAATCAAACTGAAAATTAATGTAGCCTATTTCAATCAGCTTAAATCGGAAACTTGTATAAACCGCTTATGAAATGTTTACGTAATACTTGTCCCACACTGGATGCCTCCTTAAGCTCAGTCAAACTTTGTTGTATTAGGAAAAACAGGAACGTAAATCCATTTTGTGCTCATCAAATCACAAAGAAAGAAATATTTATTTTTAGCTCGAGCCAGTTAAGTTCACATCTTTATAGCATTTGATTGCTATTATAGGATGGACTGTGCCTAAGTCGTTTTTAATACACTAGTTGCACACAATGGGGATATTATTTAGTAGAAGGTGGGCTCATGAAACTTGACGATCAGACAGCAAATTGTCTAATCGGGCTAGGCGCCCAATTGAAAAGTTTTGCGGAAAAGTGTCTGACATAGAGTGCAATCCCATTTGGCACTAATCAACGTGCTCTTGTCTACAAACAAATCATCAACCATGATGATCATCATGAACCTCATCATGCGCATCATGATCATCATCTGTGCATACGAATGTATCTATGCCAATGACAATGAGAGACGTTGGCGTCTGTCAACGCGCCAAAAAAAAAAAAAAAAAAAAAAAAGAAAAAACTTTGGTGTGGGTGTTTCGTGTTTGTCCGCTGATCCCCAGATTTGCAAAAATATATACTTGTGCACATGGTATATATACATATACTTATATGTAGCTACAACCGGACTCTTGTTCAAAACTGAATTAATAAGAAATAATCAAACTTTTTTTTTGTGCTCTGAATTTAATTTAAAATTATTACACAGGGTATATGCACTATGTACAAGTGCATGTAATAGGCAGAAGAAAGTGTAGTTAGTCTCTGAGATTATATACATTTTTAATGGTAAATCCTAATGGAAATAATCCTCTGTTTATGCACCTCTTGGCTAATCCAGTCGTTGCAGTCTTGTCTGTATCCCATCCGCCTATCTATTTGTCTATCTGAAAATATAAGAGCTGTAAGTGCGTTTCGTAAATATGATATATAACGATATTAATCGATAGTAGATTCAAGATATAAACTTATCTTATATACTAACTTGGAGGCTACATTCCTTCATTAACAGGGTATTTCCCAGTCTGTTGCTCCCATCTAGCTCATTTCTACTTGTTGCTTTTATTGAATTGTTGACTTAGTTTCTGGCTGCCTTTCGCCTGTTGCAAGCAAATGTTTCGCGTGTCTCCAGCTGAAGACCTTTTCACAAATGTGTCGCAGCAGCTGGCATGCAAAGCGATCTATAACAGAGTTGTGCACATGCAACAAATATGCTATGGTAAATGGTCCAAAAGAAAATAAATAGAAAATAGAGAAAAATGCATTTAAAAATACTTCAAATACCCAAAGCAAAGTCACATTTAACAGCACGTCTGAAATATGTATATGCAGGCAGCTAAAAGATATGCTCAATTTTGAATGCTTAAATTTATAGCAGAAGCGAAAAGTGAAATCAAATTGAATATAAATTTAAAATGAAAACAAATTTCTGGAATTCGAGAATCAAATTTAATTGGTGAAATAATTTAACTTAATTATAGACAAATCTAAATCGAAATCGTGGAAGCGTTTGCAGCTGCATATTAAATTAATTTTAATGTATACTAAAAATTAAAAGATCTTTTTAATTGGTTGACATATTTTAACTCGTTAATATATAATAGGAAATATAATTTGAATTTAAATCCAAATTCTTGAGGATTTATATCAAATATGTTCAACTTGATAATCTGTAATATAAAAGGGAAATATAGATATACATAAATATTTTTTTTTTTTTTTTTTGTGGGAATTCAGAAATGATTTTTAATAGGAAAAATAGCTTAACTTCTTGGAATTTTCAGCGTTTAAATTTATAGTATATAATTGATTCAACATTCGTTGAAATGAAAAGAAAATCCATTTAAACTATATGCTTATATGAGTACATATTAATATATCAGCTGGATCAGTTGGTTACTTAGTTTACTTAGTTAATTGGCTTGGACTTGCCTTACTCATACAGCAGGTATTCCAGCGTAAACTTAAGTCTTTTCATCTACATTTATGTAAATTGTGAAATGTGAGGGGTAAAAAGAAGAAGAGAGAAAAACCGAAAATTCGCGTTTACATTTACCTTTCTAATTGCTCGACTCGACTTGACTTTCACGACGCTTAATTCCCGACTAATCAGAAATTATGTTGTGGGAATTTTTGTTGAATTTTTACTTCATGCTCGTTCGCTTTGCACTTGTTGAACTTTAATATGTAATTCCTTTCGTAATATGTAATTCCATATATTTATAAATGTATAAATGATTCATTTACTCATGCGTTTTTTCCCTGGTACAGGTTTATAGATTGTTTATAAATTGAAATTTTACAAATACCATAAAATATATACATTTATATATGATTCAGATTTATGGGGAATTGTCAATATATTTGCTAACTGAACGCCTGCTGGCAGCTGGCCAAGATGCCAAGTGTGGAAATGGGGGAAATGTTTTCAAATGTTTTCAATTGTTGTTGAAATTTGGCAACGCGTTCTTGAATTCATTTCATTTGGGTTCAAGTTCAATGGAAATTGTGGGGGCAGACCTGGCAACCAGGGCGAATGCGTAATGTGAGTGTGTGAAACAATGAAATCATTTGCTGCTATCTGAAATGTGTTGAATATATATTGTTATATGTATATTAATTTCAGATTATATTGTTCCTCAAGTAAAATTATAATATTCATTTATTTGTATGTTGTTTTGATTGTGGTACTAAATATATATTAGACATGTATTCATTTAGTATTTAGTATTCATTACAACACTCAATGTATTTCAACATATTGAGAACACATTCTGAAATGTGTATATTTGTTGAACTTGGGCTTGTTTCTTATAAATTTGATCAGCCTTGCTCAAGTTCATGTAAATTGAGTGCCAGATTGGTTGAGGGGCTAGGCTGGTAAGCAGGGCGTATGCGTAATGTGAGCAGCGAGAATTGAGTTGTAATTTAATGCTTACAGCTGAAGTAAAAAAAAATTATTTGTTGATATTTTAATTTAATGTGAAATACAACTTATTTACTTGAAAGTATATACATATATATGTATGTTTATTTAAAATAAATGTATATATTTACATAAAAGTATAAATGTATGGATATTATGATAAACTTAAAATCTGCTTCCCTCTTTCAAAGGTTCTTATATGTGATGCCTATTGATCTGTCTATATAGTCAGTTGACGCGGTTTTGGGGTTTGTACATTTGTATTCCCTAGCATTATAATTGAGAGATAATGCGCAGGTTATCAGTTCTTGTGTATTCTATTCTTAGTTATGTCAAATGGTCATAGAATGATTTGCGTATATATTTATATGAAATGTTTTTATATAGCTGGAAAATAAAATAAGAAAACGAAGAACAGATAAAGCAAAAACTGTGTACAAATATTTCTGACAGCATCTAGTATAAAGAGACATAACTTGCTGTTCATATTTGTAGTCGAAAGCTCATACATACATATATATATTGTATATGAGTGTGCCATAATGAGAATCCGCAGCGCCCATAGAGTTCAGTATGAAAGGTCACACAAATTTTAGGTTTTGTGTTGGTTTCTCTTCAACAGTTTCAAGTTCATTGAAAATTCTTTGTGTCCGTTAGACGATGTTCAAACAGTTGGCAACAGGGCGCATGCGTAATGTGAGCTATGCATGGGGTGCTTTCATTTCATTTATTTTGGAGCATTGACTCCAAGTGTGGGGCCCACGTTTTTTTTACTCTAGTTCGCGCTCAATATATATATA